CGATGGTTAAGGGTTATCGCATCGATTTCGAATGTGCTGGAATGTTATAAAGCCAGCACGGGACTAACAACCTTCCTGAAGACCGGGCAAATCTATGGGGAACAACTAATCTTGGTATCTGACCTTCTAATTCTAGAGGTTGAAGATCATGAGACGACTTATATATATGACCGTGGTCTACCACCTTTCTACAGCTCCCGTTTGACTGCGGTTAAGAGGTTATTTTGGGAAGGTCGTTCTGACTTTTTCCTTGGTTTGGATTTATGGTTGTGCGAAATGGAGTAAGTGCAAGTTTCGGAATTGCAGCAAGTGAGTAAATTTAACGTATACGTAGTGCCCGAGCTTCTAGTGGAAAAAATCAAGTTTGTAAAGAGTTATACAGGAAATCAATGGTGATCCAACCCACAGTTCTCAGCGTGTACTTGATCACCTGGCTAACCTCTTCGAATAGCCAATTGGCCACCAGGGCCACTGGGTTCCTTTTCATCAATCTACCGTGTACTCGATTCATGGACACGTCGCCGCCATCGGAAGTCGAGGTAGCCAAAAAGCTTCACTTTTTAAGTGGTATGCTTCTCGACAAAGCGAAGGACAGTTCAACTCAGTGGGATGATCAAATAGATACACGGAGGTCGTATAAAACAGAAATGCAACAAAGGTTCTGGCGCATACAAAATCTCTGGCACTTCGGGCCACGGAAGTCACAAGGACGAATAGAGCAAGCGGATATTGCACTTGTCCACAAAAACAGTAACCTAACAGAATGCACTAATCCTCCAGGGATTTGTCTCATCTCTACAGCATCCGACACACTACCCGACCTTCTATTACGGAGGCTCAGTAGGATATACCAACAGCGTGTCCGCGAAAGTCAAGCTAAGTTTAGTGGCGGTCGGAGTTGAATCGGTCATGTCATTGCGACTCGCAAATATTCCTGCAACGTCAAAACCGGAGTTCTTAGACATCCGAACTGCATTTGATTCATTTGACAGAGCTTCTGGCTAGTAGGAATTATATCAACATTCTGTCACGTGATTCATATTTATGTTGTTAGTTTGCGAGTGAGCCGATAACACGAAATGGTTCCATCTCGCAGTACCAGTCTTCTCATTGTTGTATTTAGAATTCTCCAGGCCGTTTGCCTTAAAACCTCAGCGACTGGTCGCGACCAATCCGTTGGAAAAAAGACACCTCACCAGTTAGTCACGTGTGGAAAACCAATGAATGTCCCACCGAGATGCTTCGGTCCACAAAAGTTGCTTGCCACAAAAGCGAAATCCGATTATACGTTTTACCAACTCCGGATTAGTAGCACACGCTACAATCCATTTGCGTCGTTCCTCCACATGACACCGAAGATGGAGGTGGACGGCTGCTTCTCAAGAGGTAACTGTCATTCTCTGAACATCGCTACAACGCCGGACCAATGTCCGAGTGCATATGCCTCAGACGGTATTCGGCAAAACAGACTTGGATCCAAAGTTGGGTTTGGAGAATCCGCTGGATCCATCTATTTTCATTGAATTTATAAGCAAATAAATAAATAGGAGTTTTAGTTTCAGCAGTGCGAGGTACGCCTGCAAAGGCATGATCAAGATAATAGAAACACGTATGGTCGGTAATTGTATAAAAATGTCGTAAGTTAACCAGTAACATACTGGAGCTGTGTGTATGTATATATGTAGATGTATGTACAAGTGTCTGTCTGTCTGTCTCTTTCAGCCTTCACCGGAGGTGCAACCTCTAATATTGCCGCAAATCAGCATTTGTGCTGAAGTATTAGAAACCACCTCCCGCTTCTACTACCATGGGAGTGTGATGTCGACTGACCAGCAGCTACACAGTGAGCTTCGTATCCGCGCTTCGAAGGCAGCGGCGGCATCTGGGAAGCTAGAGTACCGAGTGTAGAACAACCATCAGCTTACCGTTGGCAGGAAGCTGATGGTGTACAAATTCATGGTGCTGTCCGTTCTTCTATACGGCAGCGAAACGTGGACGATGTACCGGCGGGATGTGTGATATCTCGAGCGGTTCCATCAACAGTGTTTGCGACGGATTATGCGCGTCAGTTGGTGCGGCAGAGTTGCAGACACGAAAGTGTTGCGTCGAAGTGGAATGTATGCAGTGGACTGCATACCTTTGCTGAGCCACCTGAGGTGGCTCGGTCATGTGTGGCGTATGGTTCCGACGCGGATACCGAAGCAGCTATTATATGTTCAGTTGAGGGGAGCGATGCGAGGAAACCGATGCTCCGTTAGCAGGACATGAGCAAAGTGAGCCTCTCACGTTCTAATTTTGATTGCAGGTCATGGGAATCGAAGGCGGTTGATCGGCTTACATGGCACGAGCTGATCACGAAGGCAGTTGCTGAGGTGTAGCAGAAAGCCCTCGTGTATGCGAAGAGGCGGCAGGCCCCGATGGGTTGTACTCCATCGACATCAAGCGCATGGTGCTGTAGCACATGCGGTCGCGAGTGCCTGAGTCAGGCCGGCCTAGTGAGCCATGAGCGAGGCCACTCGGGACCACCACCGAAACGACGACGGGTCCTGCAGAGAACGCAGACAGAACCGGCGCAGCGTTTGTAGGTACGCTGCATTCGATTTACTAACCGCGTGCTTGCATGCTGAGTCTCTTTATTTCAGGTGGTGGATATGCTATATTGTCCTGTTTTTAGTTCAAATTAATGTCCACCTGAATTATCTTTTATTAACTTGCACACCTCGCTTAAGCTAATGGTAGGTTATTTCGCTAACATTTTCTCGTTTGTGGCATTAAAAAAATATTTTCTGACGTCTTGAACCTATCGCGGATTTGTTCGTAACCAATTTATTTTAGACGTTCATTTAGTGAAGAGTTATGTCACCGTATCTATATGAATTATTCGATTTATTTGAGTTGATATCGTCGTCTCAAGTGATTGGCTGTTGCTTGATCTCTCCGGTGTGGCTGCACTTGATGTGCATTTTGACAAGGTGCCTACCTGTCTAATACCCACTACCTCGTCCATACTGGCTCTAGGAGACAGTTGGTCGTTGCTGAAGGGGATGGGGTGCACGGTCCTTGTGGCCGTGTTAGGATCAAAGTGTAGTTCCATGCACTCAGTGTGGAGCGGACTACGGTCCAGCCACCGTCTTGTGTGCGATTGATTCCTAAATACAGCATGCTTGTGTTTGCCTGTGAAGGAGTGTGGGCCGGTTCCGTTGATGAAACGTGGCTCCCATCCACACTCCTCCCGGTCTTATTCCTTCGGGTTTACACTGGATATGGGGTGTGTGGTTGGAGCTGTGGGTGGTGCAGCGCAAGCCAGCCATGGTCCCTCTGTAGGCGCAGGCGTCCTGTGGCTGGCCACAGTGACAGGCAAATCCGAAACCGGATACCGCCAACCATCTATGTGTGAGTGGACATGGTGAGTGAATTTGTTAATGTGACTCTGAATTCATGTTGTTGTTGTTGTTGCTTGTGTTCGCTATCGTATGAAGCGATCAAAGGAACTCTTCGAATTGGATGAGGTTCTTGAAGTGGGAAAAATCCTCCGGGAAGGGAAGAGGCACTTTATTTAGTGGCGAGTCACATCCGCCACGTCGCAGTGTTGCTAAGCGGACCTTTGTGGCTTTTATAGGGAGAAGGCTTGCCAAGCGAAAACCTACCACGTCCTGGAACACTGCCGCCGAACTATTCGTTGGAACGGGATTAACCCGAACCACCCAGCCGGCACCACGGGGAGGTTGTTCGGCTAGCCAGCATCTGTTTGGTCTCAAGAATACCGTACAGGCTTTCCAACGCTTCGCCGGTCAAGACTTTAACGGAGTAGGCATTACTCATGGATACCAAGAAATTGCCACGATTGCTATCATTTCACGCGAAGATCATTTTCCCCGCGTCCGAACACATTGTGTTAAGACCAAAGCTGGAGAATGTCCCATTCGTGTTGAATTGGGTGGTGTAATTATCACGGCATCTCTGCTGCAGGTGTTGAACCGTTGAAGGAGAAAATCAAAGTGGTCACAAACCAGTATGAACTTCGTTTCTCCAAACAGTTCAGTTATCCTACAACACGTTAATTAGAGGCGAGAAACACCGCAGCTAATTTGTCGTAATACAACGCGAATTAGATGGACCAAAAGAGAAAAGAAATACAGATAATATTATGCCTCGTTTTTACACTGCATCCAGAATGAACTGGCGGTTGTAGGAGGGAGGGAAACAAGGAAACTCATAACACAAAGACCACTAAGGCCTGCTCACTGCCATTGTGTACTCGTCGTCATTGGCATCCCAACATAGAACTAGGGGGATAACAACTGAGGCAAAGTTCGCAGCACGAGTCTCCATTCGCTCTGACTAAATAATCGGCTGAACTCCTTATTTGTGCACCCAGACTCCAGACGCGCGAAAAAAGCAAGTCAGGAGAGTCGAGGTGCTTTCATGCGTGACACACGGCCTGCCCTACGGAGCATCGTGGATGAAATGGCAGTGCTCAGCGATTCGCCGGCATTTTCTGCGCTATAAACAAGACGCCGAACACGCTCATTGCTCACGCAGCGCTCTCATCATATGTGAACTAAGCTGCGAAGGCACCAGTAGTCGAACTTTGGGCAAGGTTTACTAACGTAACGTAGAGTTGAACAGAAGGCTGCAATGTAGACTACCCCATTCAAGACGAGATTGATGCGGCGCCGATGCCGTGAGCGGCGAAGAGTACCCAAAGTTCGAGGCTCTTAGTTACACGGTTTGTGGCCTCGTCTCCTACTCCACAGACGCTGATATACGTATCCAGGTAGTTTAATTTCTGAATAACTGCTAGCCGATCAACACGGAGAGGTAGCCCATGGGTGCATCCCTGCAAACTTCGGAGGAAAGTTTGGCATTATGAGTGTAGAGAGTACAAACCGAAGTGAATGGCAACCGGTACTCATATGTCCAATGTTGCTTGATAAGTTTGTAAACTAGCACAGACTAGAAATATATTATCGGCATGTTTAAGTCGAAAAATGGGTTACCTGGGAGAAGCACCATACATTCGAAGTCGATCCTAGTGAGCGCAGTTTCGGTAACGTCGTCGACAGCGAAGTTGTAAAGCAAATGTGACGGCAGACGTCCTTGTCTCGCACTGCAGGAGTTATGGAACGGAGGTGATAGTTTGTCATAATCTCTCGTTTAGTGCGAACTAACCGTGTGAAGTGTGGTGGTAAGGATCGTTAGTAGCCAAACGATTTGGCACAAATTCTCAGGAGTCATTCAGAGGTAGCAGCACATTAACAGGGTTAACCTGCCATATGTCACCAAGACAGTGAAGTGAACCAGTGAAAATGAATAAGCCAATCGAGAAAAAGACAAACGAGCCATCAGAGCAATGACACATGGAGAATCGGCACCTTTTAGCTGTCCTACATACGCTGCATGAAGATTGATCGACTTATGCCGAAGAATGAGCATCGGATGAGAAAGAAACAGTCGGGTAACAGTGGTGTCACTAAATTCTGATGCGAGTCATAAAAACAAAAACTTGACTAATCTAAGCCAGTACCTCGTGGCTACCAGTCTGGAAACTGAACAAATCCAACTGGTGCTGAACATAAGGCCACATTCTCCGCGCTTCTTTACCGATGAAACGCTTTTTAATAGCATTCACCAAGCATTAATAGTGTGCGATGAGGAAGACATGGTCCGGCATGCGTAGCACCTGACCCTGCCAACACAAATGGTGCCAGAGTGTACTGTTCTGAAGACAAGATATGGTGACGCCGAGCAAACGATTTCGAACTTTGCATTGCTAACGTGGCGTTCCTTTCACACATGAGTAATTCTCCATAAGCAGCGATAGTCGGGATCTGGAAATCGTCCGAGCGAACATATAAGGCATCACACAGTACACCATAGCCATACGGAAAGAGGCTTTGTACACTCCGTCCTTAAGCCTGACATCGTAACGATGCCACAAATGTCGCAGGTTAATGAGTGCAAATGCAGGTTTGTTATGAGAGTTTATCGTCAACCTCACCACCAGCTACCATGCAAATCCCTAGATAAATAGTAACGTCGCAAACTGTCACCCGCAATGTTGAGTACAGGCATAGGATACTCAGGTGCTGTTCAAAATGTGTTGGATAACTGGTGGATTGTTCCTCAACAGGATGATAGCATCGGCATAAGCCAGATCCAGGACACAGTTGCTAGGGTGAAATGCAACGCCCCTAATTCTGAGCTTATTCTAGTGTTCGATGGAGAAAAGCTTCAATGACAAAGTTGAATAGGAATGATGAGAAGGATAACCCTCATGTACACCGAAGGCCTAGACCCTAAATCTGCCCGATGAGTAATTCTGCAGCTTCTTTGGAATGACGATAAAACAATCGCTGTAGTAGTTCCATGTAATCAATCGTTAGCCAAATAGCCCCAAGATCGCTGGTATCCGATGGAGGCGAAGGCGCTGTGCAGACAGGCCAAACATCACAAGATACTCACAGAGATGTCCCAGAGAACTAGGTTGGGTAACCGAGTTGGGGAGTGAACTGTTCTGCCCAACGATCCAGGTGCAGGCATATGTTGACGATCTGTGTGCGACTTAGTTCGTAAATTGTTTGACTGATGACAAAAAGTCCGCATCCGGAGGTTTGGATAAAGTAAACTAATCTGCGGCTGTTCGCAAGAAGTGATGCATCCGTAAACGTTTCTGTGGCTTGTTTTGACTAGCAAGATTCACGATCAAAAGGGAGACCGGCTTTCAAGTGTTTGAAAACGGACCGGTGAAGTGCATCCTGCTCTAACCGACGGTCAAGTAATTTCGAGGATGCTACCGGAATCCCATTATCACTTGTGTATCGTAGTGCTGAAGAGTATGGCATACTCCGACTAGTTTGAACTGTACACGACTTCCGTTATCAAACTTGGTGCCAGTCCATCGTTCAACAAACATCAGGGCTGCTATGGTATTGTTTGTCGCCACTGAGTGGACAAAAAAGTCTTTCAGCACACTTGAGAACAATCCGCGCGCTGTAGTCACCCCACTAGTCAGGTTGGCGGTGCGCAGCAGTTCGAGAAAGCAGTGATGACTTCGCACCTAAACGCGCTGTGTGTAGTGTTCACCAGTGTTGTGGACACCCGTGTCTAAGAGGCACAGTACCTTGTAAGAATGAGGAAAAAAGCGTAGGACTTTGTACTAGGATGGCAGCTGTTATGCTCCCACGAATATTTGGGGCTATTAGCCCCTTTCGCTAATTGGATGCTGTCGATATGGTGTTGTGGATCAGCTGCCTGTCCCCATTTCAGCCATTCTGCCGATTTGGCCTGTGGGAGTAAAGGTGCAGAGACTGGTACGTATCGCGTACGTTCGGTTAGCGTCCGTGAGCCAAGAGACTCGTATGTAAGTCCTGACCCATGAACCACAGTAGCAGCGCAACGTCTTTACCACGCTTTATGCGTATCAGCTATCTCACTGACCGAAGACATTCAGCCAATCAATGGGAGCGTGTATATGCTAGTGAATGCAACCGGAATGTGTTCCGAACCATCTCGATTGCGCAACGGAAGGACTTCATTGGATTATGTTATCTCAAATCTAACCGTCTCCACGTCTACATTCCAACGCGTCAGGCAATGGTAGTACAAACAGTTGTAGTAAACTACACGTTTTCAGACCGAACTCTTCACATGACCAAACTGCGGATAGACCCAACTTTGTATTATGGCTTTCTTGTTCGCTGCACACAACATGTAAGTATGGTAGTGAGTTATTCAGTTATCCCGTTTTCTTTAACCGCGTTTGCAGTAACATTCTTTCAGTTGAGGCCCAACCTGTGTTTTGTTGTAACTGTGTACGTTCCAGGGTTCGGTGTAGGCGAAACGGACGATAAAATGGCTGCAACCCACAGTAAGTTAGAGTTGCCACTGACAATACCTAAAAAGAAAAGCATTTTATTTTACCAAATGTCGAAGGTAACATCTGTCTCAACCATTTTTGGACGTATAACAACAGCTTGTAGAACACCCGCATTTAGGAAGTATGCTGGTGTGCTGTACTACCTCCGCGTGGTGTGCCGGCTGGGTGGCTAAATAAACGGACCTCCTTCGGTCTCGATTCTCGTACCGTCCGGTATGCTTCAACATATGTACATGCATGGGGATTGGGTATCAGACTGGCCTACTGCGCACACTGGCGTCCTTCGTCATCGAGGTATGCTGTCTTTCCGAAACTCTCTTGTATAGTCCTAACATTGTGTTTAAGTTGACATCTCTCACTGGCTAATGGGCCATATTCCACCTAGGTCTATCCGTTGACACAGAAGCAGCCGCAGCAGCTATGAATGACGATGGTGTGGTACTACACAGCAAACCCGAGGCTGCACTGCTGGATTGGCTCTCGAATAACAGCCGAGTGTGAGGAGCTTTGCTTTCGGACACATGTGAGAGTAACAGGCATCGCGATGAGAGACGCACTTTGTTTCTGATCTCCGCGTAAGTTTCAATTAACGGCATCTGTGACTCGGTCGATGGAAACTTCTATCGCAAAGTGCATCAGCTCTTGATCAATTAGTATATGCAACATTGCTATGTTTGCTGAAAAGTACTGGTTGGTCGCCTGTCACCCAGGTGATCAACAGAAATTCAGCCGTGCTTCATGATTTCTGTTCATCGGAGTTAGCAACGCACGTTTGTCATCGTTATTTAATTAATCCATTATTTTAATCCATCAGGTTTTCATTGTGCAATTCGTATGATAATTACGTACAGTCGCGACACTTTAAAAAATCTGCACGTTTTCACCAAGATGAACTGGTCAATCTATGGAAAAGAAAGGAAGCAGTTCAATAAGGAAGCACTGCGTAGGATGGAGGGTTGCACTCCGAAGAAACTCAGTTCGATAGGCATGTATTTTCCGGTCAATGCTAATACCCGTTCGCTTGTGGGAGAATTTGAAGAACTGATGAGGTACAACAAAATGTCGCGAAGACCCTCGCCTTGATGTCATTATGCTACAAGAAACCTGGTTGCGCGACAATGTGGCACTTGACCGACTTACGGCGTATCGCGTTGACCACCCATGTGATGGACGACACGGTCATTGATCGTGCTAAATCCATCCAACCCATGTGATAGACGACACGGTCATTGATCGTGCCAAATCCATCCACTGCTATTCAGCCGGAAAGGCTGCTGCGTAGGAGCGCGTGTACCTGTGTGCGTACGTGTTTGTGTGCCAACCAATCAGTGTGTGCCATTGATTCGCTTCGAACTGGAACTCGTTCTCGCGTTCATGGGGCTCTCGTGGCAGAGCTTTTACGTGTTCACATGTGTTGAGTAGAGAGTACCGCTTCATGCTTGCTACTAAATCCTACTACCATACCGCTGTTTTGATTTCGCTTAGATGTAACATATTGGCGACGAAGGTTATCGGATTACTCATGGCAAATTCGATTACGGCACCCCTACCGTTTTGAAATTCCCCTACTGAAAGACCTACTACCCAGCAATGGACACAGTGGAAAACTACTTTCATTAATTACGTTGATCTACTTTTGCTTCTTGGCAGAACAACACGCTAGACGATGCAGCAAAAATCATACTACGCCACCATCTCAGTAATAAGGGCGAGCGACATTTCGACAGTTTGCAACTACATACAAAAGGAGACCTACGATCTGCGTTCTATTCCCTGGACCAAATTTGGGGGGAAAATCCACATGTGTTCACAGCACGCTATAAATTCAACACCATACGACGACAATTAAATGAGAGTGTAAATGAGTTTATCTCTCGACTTCTTACTGCCCTTCCCGATTGTGCCTATGATCAGATTCTACCGAACCAGTTCGAAGAAGCGATGCTGTTACAGGCGTTAATTGTGGGTGTTCTCGATGAGAAGGCACGAGAGCGGCTGCTATCCGAAGACGAAACGCTCCTGACTTGGGAAAAAGCCTGTGATATTGTCCGACAGCGTGCAAACCTCGTTCAGGAACTAGCTGCGTTTTCTTCCTCCAATCAGTTGATCTCACAGGATGTAAACAAAGTCTCCCAGA